CCGTGCCAAAATCCAAGCAGAATTTTCAGCCATGGAGGATTTTCAGCTCCAGAGTGGTGAGGCTTCAGAGGCCTCTCGGCTCTGGGGCTGAAAATCCAAGCGGTTCTGAGGCCCTCACACATCAGACCTGCACCGCACCCCCGTACACCCTTCCCAACTCTCCCACGTACCCCCTTCTTTACCCAGCAATGCCTGGGGCTTGCAACTTCCTGCCAGCTTCCCCACTGACTTGATTGTGGGAAGCCAGCAGAAACTTGCCTCGCCTAATGACCCTCAATTCTTGCTTAATGATGGCAGCTAGGAGTACCAGGATTGCAGTCACTAAGCAGCCGCATGATGATTTACTTAATTACCGCATCGCTTAGCGACCTAAATTCCGGTCCCAATTGTGGTCATTAAGCAAGGACTACCTGTACTGTTCCGGCTTACATATAAATTTGACTTAAGGACAGACCTTGGGAATGGAACTCGTTCTTAAACTGGGGACTACCTGTAAAATATTTGGAAAAATAAGTAACATCTGTATTAATACTGATAACATTTTTTCACAATATTCTACTTTCTATTTACTCTTAATATTTAATGATGTTTGACATTTGTGATAATAATGTTAATTTCTTAGTTACCTTTTATAATTTATTGTGTAGATTGTTATAGCTACTGAAAGTAATTTTTTACAATCAAAGATAAGATATTCAATAAACTACAGGATTCATTACTATTTTTACATTTATGTATGATTATTGCTCAAAATAGAGATAGATGTTCAAATGGGTAATTCCTTTATTAAGACCAACCAAAATGACACAAAAAGTGTGCAAATGTTCAGGTTCTCCAAAATGCTTCAACAGGCAAAATGCTACAAATAATCATGGTATGGAAAAGAAGAAATCCCCAAAATTTGATCAGAAGTTATAGCCAAGAAGTCTGCAGTTCAGGGTCATACTTGAGAATAAGATTGTAGTCTGAAGTCATTTTGTCAGAGGTAGGTGTAATCAGTGTCAGGTTTCGTGCATTTAGAAACAAAAAATGGTAGTTGTCCTCCCTCTGTTTCAAGAATGCAAAAGCCATTAGTCTACAGTCAACCACTGGTGTTCAGGCTTTATATTTCAGATAAAATGAAAACTCCCAATGTCTTTCTTCTTTTTTAAAGAAAATAATCTACATTTGTTATCTGACAGTGAAATACTACATTAACAAGGAACAGGATGAAATGAATCAATAACTCAAAGGCATGCATTTTGTAGACTATCCAACAAGAGACTGGTTATTTTAGGACAATGATGCATCAGGTGCTGTTAGAGAATGGAAGTACGTTTGTATGGCAAGCACACCTACAATACTGCATTTAATAGGGGAAAAAAAGTGAAAATCAATAACAAATGCTCAATAATGTGTTACGACAGAAGATGGGGAAACAGTTTTCTGAGAATAAATTGTATTTACCCCAGTAACATTTATACTTCAGATCACCAACTGGGAACTGATGACCAAATTAGACAAAATTGGATTCAAGAAAGAACTGAAGAGAATTTTCAGTGGCAATGACAGTTACCATTAGGAAATGAAGGCAACTATAGGAAAATATGATAGAAATACATAAATTATGTACAGTCTATAAAAGCAAGATAAGTTCTTCTTCCCCTTTCACAATAAAACAGAACTATGGGAGATTCAGGGCATATTAAAAGAAGTACTTCATTTAGCACATAGTTAAACTACTCATTTTGCTTCCTTCAGAATGTGGTGACAGCTAGCGTACCAATTTAAAGGAGGGTTAAAGACCAGTGGAAGCTGCTCTAGAAGATCAGTGGAAGGTTATTACAGTACTCTTACGGCCAACATAAGGGGCTTTCCGTGGGCATTATTATTATTATTATTTTGGCTGCTGTGGAAAACAGGATGCTGGGCTAAATTGGCTTGGTGAAGCAGAAACTCTTGTATATATACATTTGTCCAAGTTGTGCTTTCTTTGATTTTTTTTTAAGGAAGCTAAGGGGTCAGACCTGAGAATGAAAGGAACTCAGGAAGCATATAACTTTGGGAGGGGGAAAGGCAGGGAGTGAAGTGGCCATGGCAGGGGCTGAGTAGTCACCAGAGGAGCGAGGCACATCCACCCCTCCAAGCAGTCCCAAAATACACCTCTGATCACACCCACCACAAGTCAGCTCCAGGCTCACAGGGAATATAAAGCATTACAGATTTACCCACCCTGAAGCTGTGGCGAGATAATTCCAGTTTAAGTAAAAAAAACTACTTTTAAAATCAGTGTACCTAATTATGACAATGAAAGTCAGTCTGGTCTAGTGGTAAAGATGCTGAACTAGGAGTGGGGAAACCTGAGTTCTAAGTCCTGCCTTAGGCACAAAAGCCAGCCCAGTGACCTTGGGCCAGGTGCTCCCGCTCCACCCTAGGAAGAAGGCAATGGCAAACCCCTTCTGAAAATGGTGGTTAGCAAAATGCATGGACTTGTCCATGTAGTCATCCGGAGTCAAGTCTGACTGGCATGCCAGAAAACAAAATGTTACAACATGAAGCTATGCCATGGGGCCAAAGGGGAGCAGTGGGGTTGTTAGAGCATGACTGTACTATGTTAAAGTGCAAGTGGGGACAAGCCCATAGAGTTTCAACACGTTCTCCTTAAAACATCTGGGCAAAGACAACCTGGAAAAGCAGCTCTCAAGGAATACCACAACTGCGCAACTGAATACGGTGAAGAGACTTTATAAATGCTCTCCTGAGAAGGGTGGAGTCTATCAGGCTCCTCCTACATATCTCCTATTTATACCTCCCCGACCCTGGATCCTCCAGATATCCTCCTCCTTGGGAAGGATGGGAATGGCTCTGGCACTATTTATTTCATGAAGATTGGAATGGATTGATTGTTTATGCTTATATTGTGAGATTATTTATTTCCTTATATGTTCTCATTGTACGTGTAAGCACTTTGATTGGTTCAACCAAACTGGCATAAAAATATTTGAGAAAATTAAATAAATAAATAATGGTAATCCAATGTTATCCAGTGGGTACTTGGTTGAGAAAACTGAGCTACACCATTTGGTTCTCCGCCTGTCGGTCCCAGGAGTTTAAAGTCCAGCTCTAGCATGAATTAAACCCTTGCTCGCCAAATAAATGGTTTGCTGGGCCAACTTTCACCACCCCTGAACTAGTTTTTCTGGTTTGGTGACTTCCCCTGGTTCAGATGAGGTGGCTGAAGAACCAGCGTCAAGAGAAGAAAAGGATAACCTGGCTTGATCGGCGGAGATGGAGTGTGGAGGAAGGAGAGTCACACCATTTGAAGGAGACGAGGGAAGGAGGAGAACGGAGGGACCACTTGGGGGAAGGCGCTGAAACGGAAAGGGAGCGCACAGCCAAGCGGAGCGCCCCCGCGGCACTGCAGGCAGGTGAGAAAAGGCGGCGATTTAGCGGGAAAAGCAGCAGCTGCCGGCTCGCAAAACTGGAGGATTTGTAGGTCTGGAGGGGCCAGAAGCCCAGCGGTGCGAAGGAGGGAGCGCAACTCAACCACCCCACCCACCGGACTGCGCACAGACAGAGTTCACCCGCCTAGTGGCTGCTGCGGGCGCGGGTGACGCCTCGCAACTTTTCCCTTCGCTCTTTCCCCCACCGTTGGCCGCGTCGGAGGAGCAGGGCGGCCGCGCGAGAGGCTGCCTCAGGCTCACCTTCTCCTCCTTTCCCCCCGCCAAGCAGCGCCCCTCTCGCTTTTGCCCCCTCCCTGAAGCGTTGCCGGGGCAAAGGATGGTGTTCTTTACGCCGCCGCCGCCGCCTCCCAGCTGCGGCTACCCCGCAGCAAAGTGAACGAGTGCAGTCCGCCGACTTGGAAAGAGGCGCAAGCGGGCGGCTGGCTGGAAGAGGCGGCGGGGGCGGGAAGACCCCTCGGGCGCTGGCTGGCTGGCGCGGTGGGACGAGAAATTCCGTGGGGAGAGAGCGGCAGCCCGGGGGGACTTCGCCTGGCCCAGGTAATAGGGGTGGGGGCTCGGGGGGGGGGGTTCGTGGAA